AAATTTAAAAAGAGATCCAGAATTCTAGGTCAGTTTGATGTTTTGTTCATTTGGATTTTGAGATAAAGTCTCTCTATGTAGCCCAGGCTGGTCTTGAACTCATTATGTACCCTAGATTGGCCTCAAATTTATGGCATATTTCCTGCCTCATCCTCCCAAGTGTTGGGATTATAGGCATGTGCTACCTCACCAGGCTTAGTCAGTTTGATTTGATCACAGTTATAGCTAAAGAGTGAAGAAATGATAAAATGTAAATATAAAATTGCTGTATATTTTAAGTGTTTATATTTAACAAAGTAGTGCTTTTTAGAAAAAAAAAGCTATCCAGTAGCCATTTTTATTTTTATTTTTGCTTAGCATACAAAAAAACAAAAAGGTTTCACTGTGGTGTTTCATATGTATGTATCGTTATGCTTTGTTCTTATTCTGTTACCCCACCCTCTCGCTGGACCCTGTCCTCCTCTGAAGTGCTCCCCACTTCTGTTTTTTCCATTACTCTGTCTTGAAGTTATGCTTTAAATTTTTGTGAGTTACTTATTTTTATGAGTATGAGTGTTTTGCCTGCATGATATGTTAAGTGTACAACATGTGTGCAATGTACTTGAGGTCAGATGAGAGCCTCAGATCCTGAAACTATGGTATTTATAGAGAGTTGTTAGGCACTATGTGGGTGCTGGGAATTGAGCCTCGTGTCCTCTACAAGAGCAGCCGGTGCTCTTAACCACATAGCTATCTCTCCATCCCTCAAAGTCATGCTTTTTTTGAGACAAAATCTCATACTCTAGCCAAGGCTGACAGAGAACTCACTATGTAGTTCAGGCTGGCCTCGAATTCACTGAAATCTTCCTGCCTTAGCCTCCTGGGAACTAGGTTTATAGGCATGCGCGCCATCATGCCTGGTTTCAGAGTAATCCTTTTAACACCCCCACAGATACAGCTATTTGCTCAATGTCATTAAGCAATAACTTCAAAAGTTTAAAGAGGAAGTTTTCATGAACTTGTTTGTGCTAAGCAACTATCTCCCTTAATCTTTGGACCTATCAAAAAGTATTGGGAAGCTGAGCATGGTCATTCGTGCCTGAAATATCAGCACTTGGGAAGCTGACGGCAGGAGAATCATGGCAGGTTTGAGTTCATAGTGAGTTCAGGCCTAACTGGGCTATAGAGTGAGATCCTATCTCAAAAAAAAAGTACTGCATTGGGGTATTAGCCAGGAGTGGTAGTGTACACTTGTAATTCCAGCTCTTGAAAGGAGGAGAGGAGGATCAGAAGCTCAAGATCATCCTCAGCTACAGAGAGATCTCAGAGCTAGCCTGGGCTACACGAGAACTTGTTAAAGCACAGAAAGACAAAATAAAATAAGAGTTATTGTGGTAACACATACCCTTCAAAAAGAGGGACTCTGGGCTAGACAGATGGCTCAGCAGGTAAGAGCACTGGCTGCTCTTGCAGAGGACCCAGGTTTGGGTCCTAGCACCCACATGATGGCTAACAATCATCTCTAACTCCAGTTCCTGGGGATTTCAATGCCCTCTTCTGACCTCTGTGAGCATTGTATAACATAGACACACTTATATACATGCAGGCAAACATTCATACACATAAAAAGTGAAAATAAAAATTAATTTTAATAACTTTAAAATAAATCAATAAAAATAAAAATCACTAAAAGATTTTAAAAAGATATATCAGTGTTACTGATGCTCTCTGGGAGGAGGGATTAAGTATACATTTATTCAGCTGGGCAAGGTGGCACATGCCTTTAATCCCAGCATTTGGGAGGCAGAGACAGGTAGGTCTCTGAGATTTGAAGCCAGCCTGGTCTACATAGGGAGTTCCAGGCCAGTTGGAGCTACAGGGAGACCCAGTCTCAAACAAACAAACCACACACACACACACACACACACACACACACACACACCTTCTATTCCTTCTGTTTTCTAAAACTTTTGATGATAAAGATGTACATTGGTAATCAGAAAAGAAAAATATGGTACTTTAATGAGGAAAAATTTGCAATAGCAACTTGGCAGTTGGCAGAGGAATAGTTGGTGTTTCCATTGAAAGTATTTCATAAAGGCTTCAAGCATAATGATGATATGAGCATTGTATTGTGTCTGACTCTGGAGCAATCTGGGGATTAAAGTCCACACCCCAGAGTCCACATTGGAGTTTTCCATTCCCTGTCCTCTCTGATCTCTTAGTTTCCAAAAATTCTCTCTACTGGGGCAGGGATTCAAAGTTGTTAGCTGATTAGAGAGTCAGAAAGTTGTCAGGGGTGTCTTGCTTTTACCAGAGGAAAATACTTATCTCCAAACAAAATATATAGTTTTGACTGTGTCAATGAATTCCCACAAAGAAAACCAGCACAGATGTTACCCAAATTGCTCTTGCAGAAGAGCAGAACTGATCAGCACAGACTTTGTCCCAGCCTTCATCTTCTAGGAAATCTCATGTTTCTTTGTTATGGAACATTCTGTGGTGGGAAAGCCTGGGAAGGTGGATAAATATTGATATTAAACTTAGAACAGAAGAGAATCTTTTTAATAATCTTCTCTAGTGGACCTGGGAAAGAGCAGTCATTTCTTGCTCAATTTTTTCTCAAGAGTCTCATTATGTATCCCAGGCTGCCCTGGAGCTTACTGTGTATACCAGGCTGGCCTCCATCTCACAGAGATCCATCTGTCTCTGCCTCCCAAGTGCTGGGATTAAAGGCATGAGTCACCACACTTGGCAGTTATTTTTATTTTATGTGTATGAGTGTTTTGCCTGCATGTATGTAAGTGTACCACAAATACACATTGCCAGTGAAGGCCGGAAGAGGGTGTTAGATCCCCTGGAACTGGGCTTACAGATGGTTGTGAGTCACCATGTGGGTACTGGGAACTGAACCCAAGTCCTCTTATGAACAACAAGTGCTCTTAACCATGGAGCCATCTCTCCAGCCTCTCTTGCTCAGTTTTATGGCCAAGCTAAATAACAGGTAGGATAAACTTGAGGCAATGTTTCTTTGGTTTTTGGTTGGTTTGGTTTTTTGAGACAGGGTTTCGCTGTTACCCGTGGTGGCCTGGAACTCGCTATGTAGACCAGGCTGGTCTGGATCTCATAAAATCTGTCTGCTTCTCCCTCCCAAGTGCTGGGATTAAAGGAGTGCACCACCATGCCTAGCTGGAAATGATGTTTTTATTCAGTAGTAGGGTACAAATAATGCAAGTACATATCCAAAGGCCACCCACAGTAATTTGTTCTGTAGTGTTAAAAGTGTGTTCTGTGGAACTTCAGAGGTTCTTCAAGCAGTGCTTCTTGGAAGCTTCTCATCATCTGTGCTTTGTGTCTGTTCTTCTTTTAGCTCAGCTTGTTCTCCTGCTAGTACATTTTCAAGATTCATTTTTGGAACAGTATTTAAAATGATAGAAGGATAGAGTCTGTATATTATTTCTACCAGAGAACTAAGAAAACAGAATCACTAGTACTAGCTGGGCCTGGTGGTTCATGCCTGTAACCTCAGTGTTGGGGAGGTAGAAACAGGAGGATCTTGAATCAAGGTCAATCTGGCCTGGGCTGCAAGTGACCTTGTCTCAATATATATATAAAAGAAAGGAAGGTCCATGAATGGGACACCTATTTCAAACCTCTGCCTCCCAAATCGTAGGGATCATTGTGGAAGAGGAGGCAGAAAGATTTTAAGAGCCAGAGAGGGTGAATGACTACAAAGAAAGAGTCTTTTAGAGAGCTGGTCAGATACTCATATGAACACACAGCAGTGGTGACAGCATGCAAGTCCTATGTAAGCTTAAACCAGACAAAATCCCAGCATAGACATGGGGAAGTAGGTAAGAAATCCCAGCCCAACTGATGGCTGCTGGGAGAGGGACAGACAATGTCTTATAGGGATGGGACTCTTGGTGGGCCCAGTGGATGAATCCACACTGAAGGACATTTGGAGGACACAAATCATACTCTATAGGCTGTATTTTATGTATATAAAAATTAAATTGGGCAGGGGTTGAGGAGAGGTATGGATGGGGAGGGTATTTAAATACCATCTATATTGTATGAAAATCTCAATAATTCAATTAAAAAAGGAAGGAGAGAGAGGGAGGGAGGGAGGGGGGAAGGAAAGAAGGAAGGGAGGGAAGGCATGGTGGTGCACGCCTTTAATACTAGCACTTGGGAGGCAGAGGCAGGTGGGTTTCTGTGAGTTCGAGGCCAGCCTGGTCTACACAGCGAGTTCAGGCCAGCTGGGGCTATAGGGAGACCCTATCTCAAAAAGACCAAAAAGAAAACAGAGAGGGGAGGAGAGGGGAGGGGAGGGGAGGGGAGAGAAGGAAGGAAGGAGGAAGGAAGGAAGGAAGGAAGGAAGGAAGGAAGGAAGGAAGGAAGGAAGGAAGATAGATTTAGAAAAGAAACAGGACAACACCCTGCTTTTCCATTTTTCACCAAAAACTACTTAGGATCAGTGGTTTCTACTTTCTCACTGAACTTTTATTTAATCAGGTCAGACTCTACTCATAGCTGTGCCCCTGTAAGAGAGGTCATCATTAAAATCACTTTGGTCTAGAGTCCTTATCCAAACCATGTGCAGCTCACTGTTAAAATAACACATAGCCAAGAGGTGGAGGCCAGATGGTCAAGGTGCCTCAGCTATATAACAAGTTGGAGGCCAGCCCAGGCTACATGAAATCCAGCATCAAAAAAAAAAAAAAAAACCCAAAAACATTGCCCGGCGTGGGGGCACATGCCTGTAGTCCCAGCACTTGGGAGGCAGAGGCAGGCGGATCTCTGTGAGTTCAAGGCCAGCCTGGTCTACATAGTGAGTTCCAGGACAGCTGGGGCTACAGGGAGACCCTGTCTCAAGAAGACAAACAAACAAACAAACAAACAAAAACTCTAATAACCCTCACATGGTGGTATATACCTTTAATTCCAGAGGCAGGCAGATCTCTAAAATGAAAGGCCAGCCTGGTTTACATAGCTAGTTCCAAGCCAGCTTGGGCTTCAGGGAGACTCTGCTAAAAAATGAACAAATAAAACAAAACTCCCCCAAAATGAAATAAGGCATAGCCAGCCCTGGTGGTACATACCTGTAATACTAGCTCCTCTTGGAGGAGGAGGCAGAAGAATGAAAAGTTCAAGGCCTACCCAAAGAGAGTGCCAGGATACCTTAATGAGATCCGGTCTCCAACAAAACATACTTTTACAAAAAGGGCATAGTATTCTGCTCAGTAGTAGTGCTTGAAAAAGGCATAATATCAGATCCACTTTAGGAATTCTGGGTTTTCAGATTTCATTTGAATGCTATTTACCTGAATAGTCCTGAAACCCCTAGGGCTTATTAGGAAGACTTTTAGAAGGCTAAAGGCTAGGTTCCCTTTACCAGTATGTTGATAACTATGTGTAGTGACAGAGGCTAAACCAAAAGCCCTATGAATATTAGTCTGGGAAAGCAGGTGCCCCTCTATTGACAGCTAGTATATAAGAAGCAAGTTATGAGGATAACAGAGGTTGGGATGTGTGTCATACTGTCAGCTGCCTTGGCCAGTTTGGAGGTCATGTTTAATTAAGTCTATTGTCAGAGAGAGCAGTAAGGTCCACTCATAATGCTTGGAGTTAAAGACTTGGTCTTCATTTGTTGGAATGGAAAGATACCCATTTTTATGGCTGTACAAAGTGAACCACAGAGGCTTGTCACTGTGTCAGTAGCAGTGGCATGAGGGTAATTCGGCTTAGCCCAGGGTCTTCCTGTACTGTCCTGGCATTATTGATTATGCTGTCCCAATGAAGGTATGAGTACAATGTTTTCAGAAATCATCCCATATTGATTAGCAATAAAGAGAAGGCAGTGTAGAAGAAAGAGAACTTCTCAGACATATGTCTGGTGGATAACAGTGATCCCTGTAGCCTTCTTTGAGTTTGATGAGTTAGGAATATCGTGTCCAACCTAGAAATTGAAAGGAAATATGAAAGGTAAAAAGGATGCAAATGAATTTATATTCTCTAAGGAACTGCTAAGAATAAAACCCCATATAAATCCAAGTACTCTTGAGTTTGCCTCTTTGCTCCCCAATAATTGCACTGAAAAAGCACGAACATTGTACTTATGTGAACAAGAACCTACAGTTGGTTAGAACCTATACACCACTAGCAAAGTGCCCATTTGCAGCTTCCTCAATATTTTCCTGGAAGAGGCCCTGAGTGCATGGCTACTTTGAGTCTCATGTGGACAGAAATTCTACTCCAGTCCTTGAATCAGACCCAGACAATCTCATTATGTTTTTAAGAGGCAAAGCGTTTAGGAAGAGATTTTGGGGTCTGACTCGGTATCTTTTTGAGACACTGTCTCTGGTATACTAGGGTGGCCTTAACTTAGTTTGTTGTGGAAAATAGTCTTGAATTCTTGATCTTCTTTGCCTCTATCTCCTAAGCCTTGGGATTATAGATGTGTGCCACCACACCTACATTCAAGTTTTTTTTTTTTAATTTTTTTTTTTAATCTTTTTGAGACAGGGTCTCCCTGTAGCCCCAGCTGGCCTGGAACTCACTGTGTAGACCAGGCTTGCCTTGAACTCACAGGGATCCGCCTGCCTCTGCCTCCTGAGTGCTGGGATTAAAGGCGTGCGCCGCCATGCCCAGCATTTTTTAAAAAATTTAAAAAAATATTTTTTTTATTTTTTATTTTATTTTATTTATTTTATTTTATTATTTTATTTTTATTTTATTATGTGTGTATTGCCTGCATCTAGGTAAGTGCACCCGTGTCGTGCAATGCCTGTGGAAGACAGAAGAGGCTGTTGGATCCCCTAGAACTGAAGTTACGGACAGCTGTTAGCTGTCATGTGGGTGCTGGGATTCGAACCCAGGTCTTCTGCAAGAACAGTCAGTGTTCTTAACCACTGAGCCATCTCTCCAGCCCCTACATTCAAGTTTTTAATAACTCAATTCCCCTTACCACACTTGAAATTCTTGTTTGTATTCTTTAAACATCGAGCTATTATGAACATAATACAATTTTTTTAGACGTGGCCTTACTCTGTAACCCTGGCTGGCCTGGAACTTGCTTTATAGACCAGGCTGGCCTCGAACTTGTGGCAGTCATCTTGTTTTTACCTCCAATTGCTTGGATTGCAGGCATGCCCCACTGTGCCTAACTTTTGTCTCGTGTATCCTAGGCTGGCCTCAAACTTAACTTCTTGCCTCTACCTCCCAAGCGCTAGGATTGCAGGTATGTGCTACTTCGCCTAGTTCTACAGGCTTCTTGTTTTTACAACAAGACAAGGTTTTTTTTTGGTCTTTTTGAAGCAGGATCTCCCTGTAGCCCCAGCTGTCCTGGAACTCACTATGTAGACCAGGCTGGCCTTGAACTCACAGAGATCCTCCTGCTTCTGCCTTCCAAGTGCTGGGATTAAAGGCATGCGCCACCACACCCGGCTGTTTTTACATTTTTGTTTTTGATTAATTTTTTTCCCAAACTATAAGCCTCTTTAAAATTTGACACAAAGGTTTTCAGTAAAATTGTGTGGAATAGATAAATGATCAATAAATATCAATTTATCAAATAAAAGACATGGATTCCAGTTCTGTTTCAGTTAAATGACCTTGGGAGAATCACACATCCTCTCCAAGTTTCAAATTAAATATCTAGAATACATAGATATCTGTCCTCACTTCCTTCCAGGGCTTTGTGAGGCACGGAGGAGGCAGTGTGTTTAAAACGGATACTATCACTATTTTTTTTTTTTTGAGACAAGATTTCATGTAGCCCAGCCTGGCCTTGAACTCTCTGTCCTTTTTTAATAATTTTTATTTTATTTTTTATTGTTGTTTGTGTGTATGATGAGGGGAGGGGAGTGTGCATGTGCTATGGCATGCAAGTAGAGGCCAGAGGACAACTTGTGGAGTCACTCCTCTCTACCATGTGGGTCTGCAAATTGAACTCAGGTCATTAGGCTTTTGAATGAAGTGCCTTTTCCTGCTGAGCCCTTATTTTTATTAGTGTTCTGTTTAGTAGCTTACTATATTCATAGGAGAAGTTCAATCATTTGCTGCTACAAGGTTACCTCTAATGCTGGATTAGAATTTTTAGTCCCCTTCAAGCCTATTTCTTCTAATGTTCAACAGAAATGGTGATAATGATTAAAGAACCAAAAATCTCTATCTAATAAATACTCTTATTTATTCTAGGATAAAATCATACTAATTTGCCAGGCATGGTGGTGCACACTTTTAATCCCAGCACTAGGGAGGCAGAGGCAGGTGGATCTCTGTGAGTTCGAGGCCATCCTGGTCTACAGAGTGAATTCCAGGCCAGCTGAGGCTATGGGAGACCCTGTCTCAAAAAAAAAATCATACTAATTAATCATCTAGTGTTAGAAGAAATAGGATTACAGAAAATATTAATCTAGACCCAAGAGGACAAATAAGTCCGTTATCTGAGTACTGTGATAAGAAAGACTCTGCTGCTAGGACGAAGTAGGAAGAGTACTGTGCTTGGTTACTGTATGTGCAACTGATACAGCTGGAAGGGTAGTAGCATGTGTGCCATTCCTGACTCTGTATGCTTTCTGTGTGTGTGTGTGTGTGTGTGTGTGTGTGTAAGAGACGGACTGGGAATCAAACCCCTGAAATACATCATCTTTGAGATCAGTCTCAATGCTGTAATCCTACAAGAGTTGACACCTGTCTAGTTTAGTAGGTTTTTTTCTTTTTTCTTTTTTTGTTTTTGAGACAGAGTCTTCCTGTAGCCCCAGCTGGCATGGAACTCACTATGAAGATCAGGCTAGCCTCCATCTTACAGAGATCCATTCACCTTCCTCTGCCTCTTGAGTGCTATGATTAAAGGCATGTGCCACCATGTCTGGCTGTTTGTTTTTAAGCTTGTTTATTTTACTTTTTAAAATTTATTTATATTTTCATGTATATTGGTGTTTTGCCTGCATATATATAAGTGCGCCATTTGTGTGCATTGCCCAAAGAGGCCAGAAGAGGGTGTGAGATCCCCCAGAACTGGAGTTTAAAACAGTTGTCAGTTACCATGTGGGTGCTGGAAACCGAACCTGGGTCCTCTGTGAGAGCAGACAGTACTCTTGACCTCTGAGCCATCTCTCCAACCCATTCGTTTTTGAGACAGAGTCTCACTATGTTGCCCAAACTCAGGCCTTGAACTAGGCTTAAATTCTTCTGTCTTAGCCTCCCAAATATCTGGGACTGTAGGCTCATAACCCCATGTTTGGTATTAATTTTTATTTTGGTTTTTTAAATTTATTTGTATTTTATGTGTATAAGAGTTTTGCCTGCATGAATGTAAGTGTACCATGAATGTGCAATGCCCATGGAGGCCAGAATAAGGCAGTGGATCCTCTGGAACTGGAGTTACTGGTTGTGAGTCATCTCGCCTGGCTATTTATTTTGTTGTTTTGTTATTTCTATTTTATGTGTATGAGTGTATTGCCTGCATGTATGTAAGTGGACCTGTGTCATGCAATGCCTGTGGAGGTCAGAATAAGGCAGTGGATCCTCTGGAACTGGAGTTACTGGTTGTGAGTCATCTCGCCTGGCTATTTATTTTGTTGTTTTGTTATTTCTATTTTATGTGTATGAGTGTATTGCCTGCATGTATGTAAGTGGACCTGTGTCATGCAATGTCCAAGGAGGTCAGAAGAGGGCGTCGGATCCCCTGGAACTGGAATTACAGACAGTTGTTAGCTACCATGTGGGTCCTGGAAATTAAATCTTGGTCCTCTGCAAGAGTAGCCAGTGCTCTTAACCGCTGAGCCATCTCTGCAGCTCCTTGTTTATGTGTTTTTGCTTAGACAGTGTCTCCTGTAGCCTAGGTTGCCCTTAAACTCCATATATAACTGAGGTTGGTGTTGAACTCTTGATTCTTACTCTACTTCCAGAATGTTGGGATTAAAATAAAATACTTTCTTTTTTTTTGGTCTTTTTGAGACAGGGTCTCCCTGTAGCCCCAACTGTCCTGGAACTCGCTATATAGACTAGGCTGGCCTTGAACTCACAGAGATCCGCCTGCCTCTGCCTCCCGAGTGCTGGGATTAAAGGTGGGCGCCACCACACCTGGCTCTTTCTTTTTCTTTTCTTTTTTCTTGGAAGTCTTTTTGAGACAGAGTCTCCATATAGCCCCAACTAGCCTGGAACTTGCTATGTAGACTAGACTGGCCTTGAACTCACAGAGTCCCCTGCCTCTGCCTCCCAAGTGCTGGAATTAAAGGTTTGCACACCATACCCGGCTCTATCTTTTTTAAGATTTTCTTCATTTTAATTTTATGTGTATGAGTGTTTTGCCTACATGTATATATGTGTACTATGTGTGTTCCTGGTGCCTGGAAAGGCCAGGAGAAGACATCAGATCCCCTAGAACTGAAGTTATGGATAGGTGTTAGCTGCCATGTGGGTGCTGGGAACTGAATTTGGGTTCTCTGGAAAAGCAACCAGTGCTCTTAACCATTGAGCCAACCCCCCCCCGCCTTTTTGAGACAATGTCTCACTAGGTAGCTAGTCTTGGCTAGCCTTAAACTCACAGAGATCTTTATCTCTGCCTCCAGAGTGTTGGGATTAAAAGTGTGTGCCAGTATGCCTGGCTTATGCTTTGACACATAGAATAATTCACCATGTTTGTTTTATAACTGAAGCATTTCTCTACCTCCCACCACTTATAGGTTAACTTTGTTTTCTGTAAACAGAAATACTTCCCTTCTCAGCCTGAGAGTTCAGTTGGGACTCAGTTGTCCCAGGTGGCTGGTCTTCCTTCCTTTGCTTTCTCTGTACCACTGGCATTGGCACAGCCTTCTGGCTCCTAAGCATTGACACTGAATGGAGAGAAATAACTGGTAATCATGTCAGTGGCTGGTATACACTTGATTATCTTCTAAACCTCATGTCAAGCCATTGAAAGATATTATACTTTCTTCCCCACTTCTCCTACCCTTCTCTCTCTTTGATAGGGTCTCGTGTAACCCAAGCTAGCATCAAATTTGCTATATAGGCAAGGCTAACTATGAACTCCTGATCCTCCCTCCACCTCCCCAAGTCCCGAGATTACAGGATTAAATCATCTTTCTAAGGAAGATATTAGAATTACCCCTCCTAGAGAATGGAGGAAAGGAACTCAGGTTTAGAGAGCACCTTCATGGTGTCAGGTGCCTCTCAAACAGGATCCCAATTAGCCACCACAGCCATATGCAAGGCAAAAATCACGAGCCCCATTACAGATGGGCAATTGTAGAATGGAGAAGTCAAGTAACTTTCCTCACACCACCCAGCTGGTGTTTGCTTTCATTATGCCATGCTACCTTTCTGACAGAAAGAAGCTTTTACTGATCAAGTGCTAGGTCCCAATACATCAGCAAACTTACAGGGCATGGAACTTCAAAGATGACAAATACTATAATGATGACTCCACTGAGCAACAGGATAGCAGCAATCAGAGCTTTGACTACAATACTCCATTTCTGCCTCTTCTTTAGGTACACATCTATGCCTAAAAGGAAAGAGAGGGGTGGAGGAAGGACAAAAGAGAACTTGAGCAAGTGGAGAGGCTGACTCTTGACTTGAAGTTCTCCTGACTCACAGACTAGTAGGGGCCAACCTGACTCAGACAGAGGCCAAATTTCCCTTTGGAACTCAGAATCAGGTGGGGTGACATCATGGGTTCTTATCTAGCCTCTTTTGCAGCATCTTCCCAATGAATCACCTTCTCTGGGATTTGGGATTTTCCACAGTCAAGCATGACTGATGCTGCACTGTTCTTGGGACTGGAGTTACGGACAGTTGTTAGCTGCCATGTGGGTGCTGGGATTCAAACCTGGCTCTTCTGCAAGAATAACTAGTGTTCTTAACCACTGAGCAATCTCTCTAGCCCCAATAATTCTTCTATATGTCTTTTTAATATTTTATTTATTA